CTTCCCTCTCTCCTCCTTTCCAGCTTTTACCTTTTAATATAAAACTACCACCTTTTATAACGCCTTAGCCCATTGTCCCCTTGCCATGATGGAGCTTTGACTTCACAAAGATGCCACAAGCTCAGAAAATATCTATTTTACAAATGTAATTCCTTGTTACCAAGAGTTATGGTAACAAGAAGTTAAGATGACACAAGGGAGGTAAAAGCTGGCCAAATCCGGATTTCCAGAACTGTGGTAACATGATGGATTGGTTGGATAGGCAATACTTGTCCAATGGAGCTCAAATTTGGATATGTTGTAGTTAACATCCATTGGAACAAGTCTCATGAAGATCATGACCTCATCCGAGCACCAGAGCATGTTGATCCCAGGCCAAGAAGTTGACCTACGAAAATGAACAAAAACAGAATTTATAACTAATAATGCACTTTTAGCTCATTTTCATCCCAACCAAGGCAAAATCTAAGAAAACACAAAAAGGAAGTAAAAAGCTATAAAATGTCAAGAACTAACTCAAAATAGTGGGTGAATAACATGAAAAATCATGTGTAAAAATGAACCGAACACTTCCCCACACACCTTTGAACCAACGAATTATACCCATGCAGCCAAATACCCACAATGGCAATCTACCATGCAAGATGAGTATGATGCTCTTATTCGTAACCACACTTGGTCTCTTATTCCCGCTACACAATCCATGAATCTTGTGGGTTGTAAGTGGGTGTTCAAAATTAAACGAAAAGCTTATGGTTCCATAGAATGACATAAGGCTCGACTTGTTGCTAAGGGATTCAATCAAAAAGAAGGATTGGATTATGATGAAACCTTCAGTCCTGTAGTGAAGCTAGCAACCATTCACACCAATTTGTGTTTGGCTTTGTCACATAATTGGCCTCTCCAACAATTGGATGTTTGGAATGCCTTCTTGAATGGTTTTTTACAGGAGGAAGTATACATGAAGCAACCACCTGGGTTTGCAAATCCTCTTCCCCCAAATCATGTTTGCAAACTTCATAAGGCGCTCTATGGTCTCAAACAAGCTCCCCGTGCTTGGTTCCAACGACTCACCTCTTATTTAATTGGGCAGAAGTTCTTTCATAGCCATTCTGATGCTTCTTTATTTATCAGACACGCTCACCATCACTCTGTTTATGTTTTAGTTTATGTTGATGATATTATTGTGACAGGATCTGATGCTCAAAGTGTTGTTTCTTTCATTGGCAACTTGTGCTCTGAGTTTGACAGTCGACGAATGGGCAATCTGAGTTTTTTTTCTAGGCATGGAGATTCATCGCACATCCGAGAATATTTACTTGTCTCAAACTAGATATGCCGTTGACCTTTTTAAAAAATGCAACATGGAGTCATGTAAGCCCAGTCCCACTCCTTTAGCTTCTGCCACTCATCTTTCGTCTACAGATGGTGACCCACTGCCATATGCCACAATTTATCGAAGTATGGTTGGTGGTCTTCAGTACCTTACTTTATCCCGGCCGGATATCGCATTTGCAATCAACCAAGTGTGCCAATTTATGCATAATCCCCGCACCAGTCATCTTCAAGCCGTCAAACGTATTTATCGCTACATTAAAGGTACTATTGAGCATGGTCTTAAGTTTCATAAGTCTAGTGATTGTCTTCTTCGTGGCTATTCTGATGCTGACTGGGCCGGGTCCGTTGATGATCGTTGATCTACGATTGGAGCATGTATTTTTCTTGGTCCCAATCTTCTCACGTGGACCGCCAAGAAGCAATCCACTGTCTCCCGTTCTAGTACTGAAGCTGAATATAGGGCCCTTGCCACCACAACTGCTGAACTTCGTTGGTTTTGTTACTTATTTCATGAACTTGGGATTCCACTTCGCTCTCCTCCGTGTCTCTTTGTTGACAACATTTCTGCTCTTCACATGACAGCCAATCCCATTTTTCACGCTCGGACTCGCCACATTGAGATTGATTATCACTTTGTACGGGAACTACTAGCTCGTGGTGTTCTGCGCACTCGCTATATTTCCTCTCATAAAACCTCCTTTTCTACATGATCGTCATCAGCATTCTTAGCAAGCTCTGCTCTCATTTATATCATGAATTTATATTTTAAAATTTATTTAATCTTATTCCTTGTGAAATCGTTTGGTTTCATTTCATCTCTTTTTTGTTTAATTAGAGTTACGTGGTGAGAAAACCCTAAAGAAAAATACCTAGCCGTCGCCCCTTTTGGGGGTCGCCTGCCACCTTTCCTACTCCATACCTGTTCTTCTCCTCTCATCCCATTTCCTCTCCTTCCCTTCCTTTTCCCTTTGGATTTTTTGTTTTTTTGTTTTGTTTTGTTTTGTGATGTAGAAGCAGTAACCGTGAAACGTTGGCGTCACCATTAAATAGTTGTTGTCTTTTGGCCCACGCATTCAAGGATTTGGCTCCAGTTGTCAACCTTCAATTTAGATTTGGAGCTACGAGGCGGGGATGATGTCAGATTGCGTCAAGTTGGGGTTTTGCCGGTGCAGAACTATGGGTTTAGTCGGTATGGCGCTATGAATCTTTTTAGGTTGCCCAAAAGGATGTGGAGTGGTGGTCTTGTTTCTTAGTTTGTTTTAATTTAATAATTCCCATGAACTTTTTAGGAGTTGTTTTGGTTGGTTATGAAAGGACTCTACCCAAATTCCACTTTGGAATCCGTGTCGAACCCTGTTCGTGTCCAACACCTGGCAGGTGTCGGGTACAAATGACCAAAATACCCTCTTTGCCCTAAACCCAAAAACGGCTTTAGGGTTTGACTTTTACCAGAAAATCGGCAGTCTCCCCTGAAAAAGGCTCAAAACCCAGAAATCTACCTACACAGCAACACAATTATTTCCCAAGAGTTCAGCAAGCACAAGGAATAAATCACACACCAATTAGCAAAAGTTTCAATGGGCTTCAGGCCCCTTTTTACCAACATAAGAAAGTCAGCAATTTCAACTTGAAAAAATTGAACATAACAAACAAATCATATGGGGGTTGAGAGAATAATTGGGGTTTGCAATTATTGCAAAGCGGAGATGCTAGCGGATCCCAAGAAAAATGGTACAACCGGGTTGAAAACCCACTTAGAAAGGAAATGCAAGCTATCTCCTATCTATGGAAAATATGATGCAAACCAATCGGTATTGGCACAAAGAGGGCAATAAGTAGTACCAGTACTACAATTATGTTAAACTACAACACCCAATACACAACAGTTTATATAAAAACTGTCGTGATGTTTTGAAAAATGACTTGTATTATAAAAACGTCGTGGTAAGGTAGCTAATACACCCATTCGTTGGGTTGATTTTAAAAATGACGACTGTACCCTATTAGAACCGTCGTATTTTTAAGAGGCGCTAAACAAATATTAAGTGCACGGGAGAGGAGCTTTTGAGAAAACCTCGCTCTCTCTCTCTCTGTACGCTCATGAACCCTCTCTCTCTCAACTCTCGCTCTCACGTTTATGAAGCACCATCTACCTTGCGCTGTCCAGGACACCGAACTCGTCGAGATCACCATCTCTGTCGCGTCGTTCAGGTCACCGTGCTCGCCATCGTCACCATCTCCCTCATGCTCTCCATGTCACCGAGCTCTCTGAGCTCGCCATCTCCCTTCGTGTCTTAGAGTTCTGTCGCAGGTTTCGTTGAACATCTTCAAGGTTA